TGTGAATCAAAAAGAAATAGTAAAGAATGGGCCCAGATGCCTATTATTATACCAGCTTCAAAGGATGGTTCATCCCAGATTAGAGATGAAAATACGTTCAGCACCCGTGAAGTGGGGACGAGTGAAATTGTTGAAGTAGCTGCTTCTCCTAGGGAAAGCAAAGGTAGTGGTCAAATGCATAACCCAAAGAAATCAACCATGGCGATAATTCCAGAAAAACAACAAAGCCAGAGTCAAAGCATTGTTAGGAGCAAGGTGTCCCTTGCACATGTACTTCAGCACTCAGAGTTGCAGCGTGGATGGTCACAACGTAAAGCAGTTTCTATTGCTGAAAAGCTCGAACAAGATAATTTGTAAGTAATGCAATTCTGTCTACTTCATCTTTTCGTTTCAAAAAACTTGTATTTCATATCTTATGTTCTTGATTAGTTGTTTTATATGAAATGGCACTGATTCTTTCTAAATCACAGGAGACTGGAATCTCGATCGAGAAGTTTGCTTTGCTGGAAAGCATCTAGAGTAACTCGTCGAAGGGTAAGTCCTTTGAATCTCATTATCCTTTCTTGTAATGAAATTCCTGAGCAGTCTGACGTGCCTTGCGACATAATATGCAGGCCCCGGCCGTACTCCTCATTTTTAAACCTATGTTTACTCCTCATGCCATAGTACTTAGATATACAATTTCTAACTGAACGCTACTTGTATAACGCTCGGGTCTGTCGTTGCATCCTTGTTAATTGTCACTGGCGGTCAATTTGAAGATGAAACTTACGGATGTATTTCACATGCAGCTTTCGCGGTTGAAGATAAGGGCACGAAGACCGCATTCATTGCTGAAGCTCGTGTCCTGCGGAAAGTGTCTCTCTTCAAGGTCTCCAAGGGCAGTATAAGAGAGACAGGTTTTGGCTATAGCTTTAAAGGTTTTGTACAACCTCATCTGTTATTTCTTGTATTTAGCCAATTTCATTCAGTTTACTAGCTCAATTTATATCCTTTTACATTGAATAAAAATGATATTTCATGAAAAGATGGTAGGGGAAAAAAGTTTTAACTTCTGCAAGTTTCGGTTTACTTTTAACTTTTACTTCTCTTTCTACAGCTATAACCATTATTTCTTTTTACGCAAGCGATACGGGAGGAGGGTTGAGTTAAAACATTGGTACATGGGTGAACGCTTCTGACCAACTGATATTCACTTTAAACAAACATGAAACTTGATTAAATTAAGTTAATTACCTACTTTTTGTTAACCACGATTTCGAAAAATGCCAAAAAGTTGAGGGCCATTTCTAAGAATATCATCTTCAACCGATCTGACCAAGGGGCTATAGGATCGAAAATAATCCAAAATGACAAGAAAATCGTCTTCAACCGAGGGCTAGGCCAAAGGGCTTGTGGGCCTCACTGGGACAAAACCAGCCAATCAAGCCAGCAGGCTGGGCATCTCTAGCTAGCACACTTTTTTTTTTTTTTTTTTTTTTAAATTTATAATTTTTTTCCTACACCATTTCTCACATACTTTTCATAATTTCATACTATCTTACTTCATTTCTAATAATCTTCCTATGTCCGAAAATCTTATTTTAATATGGTAGTTTAATTTAATTAACTATATTAATTCAATTAAAATAATAAATTATATTTTGCTTGTGGCCCTTTGGCCGTCTCAGTTGGAGATGGTTTTTTTATCACATGGTTATGTTTGGCCTATAGCTCATTGGCCATTTCGGTTATAGATGGTATGAAATATGATCTAACATTGTTCATTAAAATATAATTTCTTGGAGGATTATAGGGCCAAAGAGAGCCCTTTGATGTTCCTTCGTTTGAAAATTATCTTAATTGTTTTAATTGAACCCTACTTTACTCCCAAAGCAATATGAAGAGGAAGAGGTGGTGTGTATTTTGTAGTATTTGTCAAAGGTTCTGGTATGAATCCATGGATTCTCAAGTCGAAGTCGTTTTGTTTGGCATCTCTCTCTCTCTCTCTCTCTCTCTCTCTCTCTCTCTCTCTCTCTCTCTTAAACTAATAGTCAAATGTTGACCTAATTGTCGTTTGGTCAAATAATGGGCATTATTATCTTTCAGTCAGTCACACTTTCAAACTCCATGGTCGGTTTCTTTGAAATTGGAAGGGAAAAGAGATGCCCAACAAAGGAACTCTCTCAATCTTTTTGCTTTTCAGGAATAAAACCCAAACCCTTTTCTTCCGTCCTTTTTTGGCTTTTCGTTTTTGTTGCTTCCTACGGAAATTATAGTTGTAAATTCGCTTCATTCCTACCACGCGTTTTCTATCATTTCAATACAATGATATTCTAAATAATTTTTAAATCGAACTTTAAATTTTATAGAATGTACATATAGTTTAACTAACCAGCCTAACTCATGACATATTGTAGTCATCTTTCTTTTTCTTTCCTCAAAGTGTGACTAAAATTTTACGTAATAAGGACAATCATTGGGTGGCATATGCAAAACATGTGATTTGATTTATTTATATATATCACAATAAAGGCAGAAGTTTAGGGGAACCCAATGCCTTCCTGCTTGCTTTACGTGGTGAAATTCAATTCGTCTTAGGAGAATAGATAGGATTAAGGGTGGTTTGTTTGTCATTACTAACGTTCATTAGCTAGACTAGACTATTTCTTAGTGTAGTTCAGTATTTGTTACCTACAAAAATTAAGTTTAATGAAACTAGAGAGGACCCGTTTCGACTGATACCCTCGCTAAGAGGTCTTGCAAGACCCCCCAAATTGAAGAGCGCAAAGACCATCGGAACCAATTGCCAAAACGCGTTATCTTGGATCGATTGACTGTGCTCTTCCTTCTGCGAATCCTTAGGTCAGTTTCTTCTCCTTTCCGTCTCTGTTTTCTTGGATCAATTGGCCGATCTATCATGTTTAGGGTTTGATTGGGCAGGATTCTTTGTCGGCTTCTTCAGTTGCGATTGAACTTACTCTTCTTTTCATATTAGTATTCAACTAGAGTCTAGAGTGACGGGGTAATTTATGTTGAAGTTTAACCGTCAAACTCACGTGAAAATTGTATACTTTTTTAGCAGTGAGAGTTAACAATAACGTTCTTATAATATTAATAAATGCATACAAGTATCATGAATCAAACGATAATACCATGCGATGATATTGTGAAGTTATTGTTTCGTTCCAATTGTTATTCTTAAAATAATTATGTAATGATTCAATTTTTGAAACTCAGTCTATATTTGCAAAATACTTGTATTTCAGTTAGTTAACATTATTCATACTTGCGTTTGAAGTTTCAAGTTTGACGTTTCCTACTCGAGTATTATTTGTATATTTTTAAAAGGAAAAATAATTTAATACCTACATTATTGGATAAGTTATTAGGGGTTGGTTTTAGAATGGTCGAAATTATTAAATATGCCACAAAATTATAGTTGAAATCCCAATTCAAAGCTCCAACATTTTGAACCAAAATGAAAACGAAAAGCATGGAACATATGTTTGAGTTTTATTATTAGATTTTCTAAATCCTCCAAAGATATTCATCCATTGTTTAGATAATACCACCAACTAAGGGTGGCAATTTAATTGTGTTTGTGTATGTTATGTCAACTTACACTTTTATTTAATTTTGGTTTCTGTTTTGTTCGATTTATTTAATTTGATAATTATAAATAAATAGGAATTTGTGATAACCTAAAACACAGGCTCTTTAAGGTCCAGTTAATAATATTAATATTAATGTTGTCCAAATAGAAAAAATTTCAATATGTTTAGAACACTAGATGATATATTGCATGTCATTACATAAGTTAAAAAAAGTTTCATAACGTTTCTCAATTTACATAATAACATTTGATGTATCACTACATGTGTAGACACTTTGAAAAATCTCTCGTACAAAGCCTCCACAGCTTTATTTAGTCAACCCTTGAATCATCAAAATCAGAAGCCAATGCTTGCTTAGTTTACACCCACCTTTACTTTGAGCAAAGCAATCAGGCAAATACTATTTCTTTTTGCTCCTCCTCCTTCGTAATATGTGCTTTTTGGCTACCGAAGAATCAACTTTCCTGTGACCTAGACTTGTGGAGTGTACATCACTCATCATATTGCATGACAAATGAGAAAAAAAAAAAAAATATATATATATTTGCAACCAACATTTTACGTCCAAAAATTATTCTTTTTTGATCATTTGAACGAGATATTCAATTGCGTCAAGATAACTGGTTTAAAACTTACGACTTTGGATTTGACATATTTAGACAGTGTACATGCTGCAAAGGCAAATCTACGTGCACTTGGAAGAACACCTAAGAACCACATAAACAGTTGGGTGATGTGATGTGATAGGGGAATTTAGGGTGATAGCAAAAACTGTGGGCTTAAACTATGGCAGTTCGAAGGAAGGGATTCCCAAAAGTGGCAACCAAAGTGAATGACAAATTAACTTTCACGTAAATTTCCAGATCAATAACATAGCAGGATTACTTTTGGAAAACACGTAGAAATCACTTCCTTGTTCTACATCTCAGGAGAATGACGTTTATGTATTACTACCGTAATATTTTGTGTCAACAATACAATCCAATAACGTAGTTTTTGGAATCCTACGGTCTAAGAAAATTGTTGTCAACTCTCGTTTGTCTTATTCAACGTTAGAAGAAAAAAACTATTTATTCAACCTTTGTTGTTATACCTTCTTCTTTGTCACTACTCATTATATTGATTGAACAAAGGATAAATATATTTTCTTACGATAATGTTATTCAAACACTCTTTTTTACGTTACATATATTCTTGTTAAGTTTTGTTCGTTGAACTTCTTCATTCTATTTAATTTAATGGCTAAAATTTAAAAATAATGTATGAGATATTAAATAAGTATGTAAATAACATCATTTTTTTTCTTTAAATCGTAATAAATTCTTACGAGAACGAAAGATGATATTAATGGCACGAAAAATAAATAACGGGAAAAATATACATGTGAGATAGACATTCATCTCCCACCTTCCCCGTTAATGGTGGATGACTTCATAAGGATCCAAAGTCCAAAGGCGTAATTAAAGTGGAAGAAAATGCGTGTCCTTTTTAGTCACGGAAAGCAGCTGCAGCGGCAAGAAGACGAGGAAATGGGGACATTGGGAAGCTGCCGCTGCCACAGCATTGAACGCTGCACAGCAACCTCTACAAATTATTAACTCGTATATTTTCAATTCAATCGAATCCTCTCTCTCCTCTGCCTTTCTCTCTCTCTCTCTCTGTCTCACTCTCTCGCTTCTCGGTCAAAACCTCTACTTCACCGAGTGATCCGAGTCGGCCGAGTCCGCTTTCGCAACGCGGAATCGTCACCCACCATTAAAACAACTTCCCTATTCATTTCCTTTGAAGATTCAAAAACCCACCAATCAAAGCGAGAGGCTTTGGATTCCTTGGGAAATTTTGACTGTGCCCAGTTGCTTGTTTCTTCTAAAGTTTCATGGCTTCGGCGGCGATATTCTCATCGATGCGGAGGCGGAGGTCACCTTCTCTGGAGGCATTTTTAGCTCCGGTTGACCTTTCCGACGTCGCCCTTGTACAAACCCTTGTCTCCGTCGCTGCCGACATAGTTTCCTCCTTCTCAGACAAGTTCTTATCCATCCAGCGGCGGAATTCGAGGTCCCTGGTGCGGAAAGTTGAGATCTTTCTCGTGCTCTTGGAGTATCTGAGGGACTCCGACGCTGCCCTGCCGTGTACGGCGGTCATCTGCCTGAAAGAGCTATACTTGCTGTTGTACAGATCCAAAATACTCCTCGATTACTGCGCCCAATCGAGTAAGTTGTGGCTTTTGCTTCAGAACCATCCAATTTCCGGCCATTTTCACGATATGAATCAGGAAATTTCGACCCTTTTGGATGTTTTTCCGATGGAGGACGTCGGATTGGGGGAGGACGTGAGGGAGCAGATTGAGCTCCTGCAGCTACAGGCCAGGAGAGCGAGGCTGTTCATCGACGAAGGAGACGAGGGGCTGAGGGTTCAGTTCTTTTTGTTTCTTGACGAATTCGAGAAGGGCCGGGTTCCTGACTCGGCCGATTTGTGGTTGTTTTTGGTTGAAAGATTGGGGATTCGAGACGCCAAGAGTTGCAGGCACGAAATCGAGTTCTTGGAGGAGCAGATTGTGAACCACGAAGGTGACGTTGAGCCCACCGTTTCGGTGCTCAATGGGTTTGTGGCCTTCACTCGGTATTGCAGGTTTTTGCTTTTCGGTTTCGCAGAAGACGAGGTTGAATCGGGGATTGGGAACAATCAGAGGAAGCCTCGAAGAGGGTTGATTACTCAGGAGATTGGGGAGACTTTTATAACGATTCCGAAGGACTTTTGCTGCCCTATATCATTGGATTTGATGAGGGAGCCGGTGATCATTTCGACAGGACAGACGTATGATCGGAGTTCGATTTCGAGGTGGTTGGAAGAAGGGCATTGTACTTGCCCAAAAACAGGACAAATGCTGCCCAGCACTCGCCTTGTTCCGAATCGGGCTTTGAGGAATTTGATCATGCAGTGGTGCACTGCTTATGGAATTCCGTATGACCCTCCAGAGTCTGCAGATGCATCAGCAAACAGCTTTGCGGCTGCTTCTCCCTCCAAGGCTGCACTTGCAGCCAATAAAGCGACGGCAGGGCTTCTAATCCAACGGCTGGAGGATGGGTCACCATGTGCACAAACTATAGCTGCTCGCGAACTTCGATTGCTGGCAAAAACAGGAAGAGAAAACCGTGCTTTCATTGCGGAAGCTGGGGCAATTCCCCATCTTTGTAAGTTACTCTTGTCTCCAAACTCTGTTGCCCAAGAGAATTCTGTAACTGCAATGCTCAACTTATCGATATATGAAAAAAACAAAAGCCGAATTGTTGACGAAGAAGGGTGTTTGGGGTCCATTGTTAATGTTCTGAGGTTTGGGCACACGACTGAGGCGAGGGAGAATGCTGCAGCAACTTTATTTAGTCTCTCTGCAGTTCATGACTATAAGAAGAGAATAGCAGACGAGGAAGGGGGAATCGAAGCTTTGGCAGGATTGTTGAGAGAGGTACCCCAAGAGGAAAGAAGGACGCCGTGACAGCTTTGTTTAACCTGTCGACTCACACTGAAAATTGCATGAGAATGATAGAGGCTGGGGCTGTTACAGCGCTTCTAAGCGCATTGGGAAACGAAGGGGTTGCTGAGGAAGCAGCTGGTGCATTGGCATTGATTGTCAGGCAGCCTATTCGCGGCTAAAGCGGTGGCAAAAGAGGACATTGCAGTGGCAGGTTTGATAGGGATGATGCGTTGCGGGACTCCAAGGGGTAAAGAAAATGCAGTTGCAGCTTTGCTCGAGCTGTGTCGATGCGGTGGAGCTGCTGCAACTGAGAGGGTAGTTAAGGCACCAGCTTTGGCGGGGTTACTGCAGATGTTGCTTTTTACCGGTACAAAGCGGGCAAGAAGAAAGGCAGCTTCTCTTGCTAGAGTGTTCCAAAGGTGTGAGAATGCTGCAGCAATGCATTTTGGTGGTCTCGGCGTGGGATATGCACTTGCAGGTAACTCGACTGCAAATAGGGATTCGAGTTTTGTAGGTGATGTGTCAGTGCCGATGTCCATTTCCGTGCCTGTTTTATAGTGGTAACATCCCCCCCCCCCCGATTCGTAGTATTCCTTGCTCATATATATTTTCATTTTTGTTGAACATATTTACACATTCTTTCATTGACATTGGAGGTCATAAAGAAGTCTAGTGCAAGATTCGTATACATTGTAATGTCCAGTGATTTGGAAAACGAAACCAGAAACTGTTCAGAAAAATTGCAAGACCGTTACAAATTGATAAACTGTATTTTCAGGGGATGTTTCTCATTTTTTTTCCTTCGTAAAATATGCTTCTGATGCAGAAATTTAGATTGCTTTCGATGTTCTGTACTGAAGAATACTCTGTGTGGCATGATTCTTGGAAATCTTATGAACTAGCATAATAAAAACTGAGTCTACATTCAGTTTAAGCGCTCACCGACAATAAAAAACGCTTCTGATTGTGTTTGTTCCTTGCAAAAACTTAAAAAGTGCTAAATAGTGATAGTAGCGTTTTTATGTCACATGCGTTTTCTGTTACTCTAAAGATTTAGAGCTCGTTTGGAAGTGTTTATAAAATAGCTAAAGACGCTTTTGATGAAAGTGTTTTGGAAACTAATTCTTAGTAAAATGCAAGTAAATTCTAAAATGCACTTAAAGTGCTTCTTGCAGAAAGTGCTTTTGGAACCCAATTTTTTTTCCTCCAAAAATACTTTTAATCATTTTAAAACCATTTTCAAACTTGCCTTTGTATTTTAGAAGAGCTAGAAACCTATACTCGTTAAAAAGTCTGAAGAATTTACTTTTATGAAAGAGTGTAAAGGAAGGGAATGAAGACATTTTCTGGAGACTAGAAATAGTGGTTAGTTGTGAGTGATGTAATATTGGACATAATTTTCTTCTTTTGACCAAATGCCAAGTTTGGTGAGGTGACCCAACCTGTTTCATCCACGCCCTAGGATTCTTATCAGCCAAGCATTAGTCGGACGGTCGAGTCACGTCACTACTCTGTTACTCTCTTTATTATTTCGGGATAGCCATTTTGTCAATCAGAGGCGTGTGGCTATCGACATTCACGATTACTCAAATTCGATTCGACTGTCGAAAGTTAAACGGGAACACCAAAATCGCTATAATCTTATCGCTTTCATTGAGTTGATTGGAGAACCTTGGGTGAGAAAAAGCTTGGAAGTTGTCATTGGCTTCTTTTTATTAACCTATCTTATAAGAGAATATGCTATGATGGGCGTTAGGCAACCACTAAAGTCTGTTGGAAAATTCCACTTGGAAGCAGAATCTTGTTTGCAATCGAGAGCTTTTGTAATGGCAACTGTGTGTGGTGGAGGAGGAAACATGCCTTTCACTAACCCAATCCCATCTACTTATTACTATCAGATTGAAAGGAGGGGAACGTACTCAAAGTTGATGCACCAAAAGGCTCCATTTATTTAAATTATATTTGGAGACTGATATCAAAGACATGTTTTTTGGTTAGAGAAGAAGGTATTAACATGGCTGCTTGATTAGGTCAATTCTTACACCGAGTCAAATTCAACAAGATCAAAATATAAAGAATTTTATATTTTTGTGAAAAGTACTTACAAATGACGTGGTAAGACATCTCTCGTAGTAAAGCTTAAAATCCTAAGCCTCTATTTATTCATCATACTAGCTTGCTTCACATACCAACTAAGGTTATGATCTCTCTTGAACGGCTCAAATTTTTGGTCCACGGGCTCCGGAGTTGGAGGAGAGAATCTCGAGTCATATATTTGAAGCCAAATCACAGCAGTTGGAGTAGTAATGATGGTTTCTAATGATAATAGCACACCATCCATATTGGTTACAGCTTATAACCCATTTTCTTGGTCCTCTTTCTTGACCTAAATAAATAACTAATAAAAAACGATGGGCTATGTTTTAAGGGAGTTGCTCAACTTGAACTTTCTTGGGTCCCAAATAAAGATTTCAAAGATCAACTCATTGTTTAGTAGTGGTGTTTTAGTGTGCCAAAAATTCAGTTCGATACATAAAGTCTCATAACACAAATAGTTGAATGCTTGAAAAGAAATTTTAACCGCTTAGTATATCAGCCATGTTTCCAGCACACTGAAAAATTTCTCCTTAGTTAGAGTCACTCTTTATCTCCCAATCACATTTTTTGGGTCAATATCTATAAATTACATTATGGCAAATATAAAATGTAGTTGGATAAAACCCTAAAAAATTCATTACATTGTAGATGTGGGTTCGGTTAATTGACCGGGATAGTACTCACTCTGTTATATTCAAGTTTGATTTCTTTATGTATACTTCATATTAGAGTAATGTTTATGCACACGTTAAACTGTGATTTGCCTGCATGAAAAACGCAGCATTCTATTTGCCATTTGGTAATAGCAATAGGAATATCACTTTGTGTGCTTGTTCTCCATCCTTTGGCAATGCCTAGGTGGAAGACAATGTGCACATGGGGGGAGGGGTTCTCTTCTTCACCTTCAAACACGGCAGCCCTCATGGCACGCGTCTCTGGTTTTGTTCAATTTGTTCATAACTTGGACTGCCTGGACTGCAAGAAAAGTCTTGAACTTTTAGTACAAATTTAATACGTTGCCTTCAAGGCAGAAGTCTTGGATTCTGTTGGAGAAAGAATTGTAGTTTCAGTCTGTTGAGTCATAAATTCTTAACGTTGTAGTTGGGATTAGTGCATCTTTTTTTTATATATAATTAGGTTATTTTAAGATGGTTGAACCTTAATTCCTCATTGATTAATGTCTGTCTTTGTAGCCGGCCATTGGAAGAAGATGGTTGGGTGTAAAAATGAGGCATATATAATATTACATGGTTGAAACTTCAATGTTGAACCTTCAGCCCAGCCAAAGTAATCAATCTAGAGATCCATCACAGTAGGAACAAGACAGACAGAAGAAGGTGTGACCATACGTAATACCGTCACGTTGAGTTATTAATTCAAGTGTTATAATTGTATATGTGATCGACGAGTTTGTACTTTATAGTATTTAGTTATTAAATAAAATCCATGTTATAACATAAATAAATTGTAACATAACGTGACTATGTGATGGTCATACCAAATAAAGAGATTTATAATGCTTCGAGTAGTGTTTGACCATTCCAAAAATCAAAGTCTTGGCAATACAATAACAATTCTACGGCAGGAAACAACAATTCTAGACGAGAATAGTGTTGTAGTAGTCTTGGTCTTAGGCTTTACAAAGGTATTCTTGTTTTAATACTAGCAGCTTTAAAAATGAGAACTTGTGTATCAGAAAATTCATTGACATGGTCCTAACTAGGAGAAAAACTTACATGCAATCGAGTGATGAGATATTTGTAGTGTAGTCACGTAATGAGAATTGTAGGAAGTAGGAACAGATGCCCTATCACAAGTTAGTATCCTGACCATCAACATGGTCAGACATTGTCACAAGGAGTGTGACCCGTGCATTGAGATTGTTCTTAAGTGAGGTCGAATGGTACATGAATACATAGTTTGTTCACTTGTAATGGTGCAAACCGACGATTTTCTCCCAAATTAGGAGAAGACCTTATGAGTGGCAAGCAGGCCGGTATATGGCAATGAGTACAGTCGGTCTGCTCTTTTGTGATCAAGTACAAGGAATCCCGCTTTGTGATCGAGAAGATAAGAGTAACGCAGAGTTAGGTGAGACAAAACACAAAGAGTCGTAAGAGATGAGTCAAAACTTGCATGTAGGGTTTTCGAAATTTCATGTCTTTTCATATTTTTTTCTGCTTCCTTTGGATTCCTATTATAACCTAAGGTTTTAAATATACTAACTGCATCACCACATGACAAAAGTCCAACTAAAAATTGAATGGAGTGGATCAGAATGAACCATAAAATGTAATTTGAAGCCCATTTGGCATGTTATAGACTGGAAGTTGTTCATTTTTCAAGCAAAACATGGATGCTTCATTTCACATTTCTTAGATTGCCATGAGCAACAAACTTGGACTGAGCTCATTTCATTTTAATTTCCTTACTGGAAAAAAAAAAAATGAAGCTACTAATCACCTCAGCCTTTAGCATTTTTCCAAAAAAATAATTAAACATCAAAACTGGAGGTCCGAGGATTTCGAAATTTCCAAAATTGATTGGAATTTTTTTTTTTTTTTTTTTTTTGACAAGGTAGCCTATGTGCCGAAAAAGTCCGTTGGATTCAAGCTTAAGCTATAGCTGGTGTCTGCTCAGGCTTCCAAAAATATGCGTTCATTGCTTAGGGACAAGGATGTCAAAGTCGCTGACAGTCCACTCAGCAACTTGATCTGGATCCTTGAAAATTTCAGTCCCCAAATCTATAGACATCCATTGCCTTCTAGCTGGCGGAGTTCCTGGATCCTGCAAATATCACCAACTTAACTTAGCAACAATTGTATGTCACAAATGTGGAACATGGTGCAAATATCGACATTATATTAATACAAAATATGTCCTTTAACAAAGAACGGACGTCCTGCACAAAGAATTCTACATGTAGAATTTTTTAAAAATTCACAAGGGTTAACATTATCAAACCTGGTAAAAATGAAGTGATTGTGACAACCTCCCAACATCGAGCTCCCATGTTCTTGGATCCCCAATCCAACCCTCCCCTTGCTTTGTAGGGTATCCGTACTCACCCCAAACCGGGTGTGGCAAGATCTGCATTATCTCCTGAGGTTGAGGATTACTATACGGATCACATAAACTAAAAGGAGGCTCGAGATACTCCGCATTCCCCGGCGAGCAGTACAAGTGGTAGGCGGCATAAGGGAAGCGGGCGGTGTCATTGCGATGAATCCGTGTGCCGTTAGGGAATGTGTGGTAAGGCGGGCACACATTGAGGTTGTTTGGTTGGCACCATGAAGTTATGTTAGGGTTTATGATCATTTCACTGTATCTAGTAACATCTGAAGTCACATCGCCATCACAAGGCTTCCCACTGTTCTTCCAACAACTCCCAATGTCCATGAGATAAAATTGACTGCTAGGACCCCCACCTTTGATCACATTTAAAATGAACCTCACTTTAAAATTTGGCGATTCTGGAATCTGCATTGCAATCGAAAATGTGGATTGTGGAGTGAGATGGGTATCTTCATTCCCAAGAAATGTTTTGCTTGCAAGAAAAAGCTTTCGGAAGGAAAAAAGTACGCTTTTCTTAAGGATGCCACAAAGATTGACTAGTAGGAACGTTTTCTTAGGTAAAGCTCATGAATATATGAAAAGGGTTACTCACAATTTTGGACATCCCTCTTGTAGGGTAATGGTATCCACCAGAAAGTCCATGGGTGGCGTCCGATCTGAAGTAAAGCATCAGCCAAGGATACTTTGCTGAAGTCCTCAAGACATGATGGAAAACCCAACTCCCCTCTCCAAGTTTCTTTTCCCAAGTGACAGAATGGTAAGAAATGTTTCCAACCATCCCTCTGCTCAAATCTGCATCCTTATCCCACGACCCGTAAAACCTTCCCTTTAGAGTCAAATTAGGCACCTTCAAATTGGTGTAGTCATGATAAATAGAAGGCTGGTTCATGCATCCATGTCCGAAGCAAGGAAAACCGCTTCCTTCGGGTTTAAAGGGTCCAACTTTGTGACCATTTTTGGGGCATTTGGCTGCATAAGTGTCCATGTTGCCGCTCTTGAGCATGATCATCCAAAAGTGCCATGGATTTGGGGTGTCTTCAACTTGGCATTTAGAACCCAAATAAAGCTCCTTATCCACCGCGTAAAGATCTACGTTGAACTGAGCCTTTTGCCGCAGACCAAGAAGAGGCTCTCCCATTTTCAACTTGTTGTCTCGCTCTGTGACTCTGTGGACTAATGCGTACGGCATCTTGTTGCAAGAGCATGATTCCCCTGTCACATATAAAAATTCATACAAAAGAAACAAATTTTAAAGAATAATTCATGCTAAAATCAGCATTTTCATTGGTGGTATTATACTTCCCACCCCATTCAGGATCGAGGGTGGATGCTTGCATCCTGTAACCTTCGCTGAGGAGTTAATCTTGCATAATCTTCTATTTATTAAATATAAATAAATATGAAGAGTGTTAAACATACCTTCTGGCTGCGGAGAAGCTTGGTATATGTCAAAGCAATCAGCAGCTCTTGGGCTGCCAGTTAGAGGTTCTTCTCCAACCTCATTGCACTGATTCCACGACTCGATCGCCAACCGGAGATTGTCCCGTCTCATTCCCGAATCGCCCACCGCCGATACATACTCATTCTTCGCCGTCACGGACAAAAACCCTTCACAGAAAACCAGAACAAGAAGAAGAAGAAAACAAAATGGGATTCTTCTGTGAGCCATTTGATAAAAAATTGAGATATGAATGTTTATTTGCTGTACATTTTATATACCAAAAAGCTACTACTAAAGGGTTGATGAAATTGGATGATTTGGAGAGTTCTTAGTGTGATTAGAGGGAATTACTTTGTGATCAAGATTTTAGATTTGCAGCTTGCATGGATCATACTCATTCTTGTTAATAAATGCTTTGTCTAGTTTGGCTGACTACTAAAAACTTTAGGAGGTTTAGTAGTACTATGCGGCACTCATTCTCATAAAAAAAAACTCTACTTTTATATCATCTGTGTGACGTTGATAATATGGATTGGATAATGCTGGAAACCAAGTTTTCAGACTAAATTTGTAAATTACATGATATGTCATCAGTAGGAAATAAGCACGTCAATTAACACTAAGTAATGATTCAATCGTCAACAACCAACCATATCATATGCTTTATAAATTTTGGTTTAAATAGATGATCTCCCTAGCATTACTTATACGGGATTCAATATGTAGGCGCTTAAATTTTAAAATTTATATGGGATCCCCTAGCATTACTCATACGGGATTTAAAATTTAAAAAAAAAAAAAAAAGTAATGCTAGGGAAATAAATTATGTAGGAGCTTTTGGACCATTTTTAAAAAATAAAAAAGGAAACTCTGGTTTAAGCAAGGACTAGAGAATTAGGCGAGTAGAACTACACATCAAACACAATTAATCATGCATTCATACTACTACTGCAGCCTACCCTGTCCTCTGTCCTCATATTCCATACCCACGAAAATTTATACCAAAACACATCACTCGTGAAAGAAGTTCTTATAAAAGCATTAAATTTTTTTTTTCGTCTCATCCGACTCTACGCTAATTTTGCCCGATTTAAAAACTACCACAATCAGAAAGTCCTAGGCAAAAATTTGTTTGGAAAAATGAGATGTATCCATCTGCCAGACCGCGACATGATCAATTTTGTTAATTAAGAAAAGGCAGAGTTTTTCTTTGTTAGATTATCGTCAGTAGTGACCAGTTTGGTGCACATTCTCCTTCATACCAGAAAACCTACTTTCCCAACCGACACAAACAAACAAATCCACTCTCCTCATTGTCTTTGGAAAGTTTTTGGGATGTAACTCTTCTACTAATTTATTTGAACTGACTAACTACCCTCTTAAATTTCATTTAACTAAAATTTGGAGCTAACTACTAACTTATGACCAAGTAATGTTCAAGTCCATTTCCACTTATCCTTTTTAAGGTTGGTTATAAATTAGTCAAGGGACCAACTTCACAGACTGTGTGCTGTTGTTTTGAAACGACAGACAATTAAATCATTCGGGTTTTATTTTCCACGTCAAACGTGAGACTTACACGCAACCAAGATGTTAAGGTGGCAGTGTTTCAAATTTATTATGTGTTGTCATGTGTTTGAATTTTCTCACGTAGCGTGACGTGATTGATTTAAGATATTGTCACATTGGCGTTCCCGTTATATATTGATTCATCTCTGGAAACAAGTAGGACAACCTTGGATTGGACCAGTTTAAGATGGGGAAATCTATACGTTTTACCAGCTTTAACCTTTAGCTATCAGATGTTGGTGCAAATATAAGTAATACAAGTTACTTGATGAGCAAGATTTTGAGAGGTGGAGGAAGAACACCATCCAGTTAGGAGGGTCAGATAATCATTGGGCCACACATGGGATGGGACTATAACTTGTGAGCCACCCAACCAGAAACCTAGATCACATACCTTTCTTCATACACAAGCGTCTTACAACACATAATTAAAAATTTAAAACAAAATTAACTGACTAGAAAACACATAATTGCAACTTTTAAGTTTCCAAATTACTTGCATCACTGTTTTGTATGACCAACTCAAACCTCCGAAATTTCTCTCCTAATTGTTGTTAATTGCCCTCAATCTTCTCCTTCAACTTAGATCCAACTCGATCGACTCTCTATCAACTTTCGATTACTTTCACTGTTCCATCAAGGTCCGTCGTGCCCAATTACCTACTTTACAAATTAATTTTCTCTGTTATTGTATTGCATTCTGAATTAGTAATTGTACGTCTGTAAGATCAACTAAACCATAAACCCTAAACATTTGTACATGTCTTGTTTGGTTTTGAATGAAAGAAAAACTAATAAAAATGGTTTAAAAACTTTGAGTTTTAATGATAAGGACAAAATAAAGGGTAAAGTGAATAGTGCCAGGATTGACTTTTTAATGTAAAAATATGATTTTTTGTTAAAATAAACAGTACTGGGAACTTTTCATTAAAGTTCCCTTTAATGAATGTACTGTGGACAGAGAAAAATCCTAAACCTTTGTACAAATAATTCATATGCAAATCCAATTTGGGCAAGACCAAGTTCAAGAGCCTAATCCAGATGTGGGTCAGCGATTCTCATGTTTGGTACCCTCCTAAATTTCAGATCAATCCAATCCTGTCCAGTCCAATCCAATCCAATTCGGAGCCCTTTTTGCATTCAACTAATCTTCCCAGTGGACCACTGTACTAATCTTTTTGACCAAAGTAGAAGAGAAAGATACAAAATTCGGGACCAAAGACAAAGCAACAAAGCACAAAGGACCAAAAAGGAAAGGTAACCGAAGAAACGGAGAAAGCCTGTATTATTGTCAGTTGAATATAATCACACATTTATCTACTCATGTGCACAGATAATTATATAACTAGTGATACTTAAGAATCTTATCAAAATATGCCCCGTCATCACAGTCAGCTACACCTGCACTCATAATATCGTTGTTTAGCTCCGTCATCAAAGTGAGCTGCACCCCTACGCATAATATCGTTGTTTACACTACATAGTTGACCAAAAGAGAAACGTTTGTCTGACTATGATAACTCTTACACATTGTGGATTTAGGAGTCGTGTAAGATCAACAAAATACAATGAACGCTTTATTTATTTAGAGCAGTTCAACAAATCCGACTACTTTTTTGCTCGTAACTTACTTCGAGTTAAAGAGTGAATTAATTTCTAATACGTTGTAATAAATGAAGTAGGCCATTTTTGTTCTGTGGCAAATCAAATTCAAGTTGTAGTTTTCATACATTAATGAATGTGAAGCTACTCGAATTTGTGCTGGACTAAGGCTAATATGCTATGATGGGCAGACACAACAAATACTTTTGGTCGCTACCTTATTTATTATAATTAAATGAGTTTAAATTTAGAGATATATGTATTGGATAAACATGATCTTAAAAATTAAACTTACCCAACAATGATAAATAGGATGATAAGCATTACCATTACTTGAGTGTGGTGAACAAAAATGCGTCCGTCAGACACACATAGCTGTTTATTGTTTCAATAAGAAGGCACAAAAGTAAGGAAAAAGTGGGAGAGTGGTCACAAGATTAGGGCGGGCCTTTCTTTTGAAAAACAAAACCAGTAATACACTACCCACACCCACGTTCCTAATAACCGTCCTTCCTCATCCTTTAGCTCCTTCAACCCTACAACTTCATCAGTCTTCCTTCTCTGCAACTCCGAACCATCCAAATTCCCTTTTGGATTGCAGAACTTCAGTGGAATTTAATCATGAAGTGGGGTAGCAAAAGGAAAAAGCATCTACCTGCTTCTTCAACTTCTTCTTCTTCTGCCTCAAAGGCTTCTTTGATCTCTCATGTCTTTTCAAGTTCATGGCTTTCCAAGTTCAAGCACAAGAGTGAGAGCTCGGAACCAAAACCCGGTAAGGGAAACCGGAAAGGGAAGCAGAATTCTCCGCCTTCAGATTTGCCAAGGTGTGGTAGTCATGGGGTGGAAGGTTCTATAGTGTAGATGATGACGAGGACGATGCGTTTTGGAGGCTGTCTTTTGGGGAAGATAGTGCTCAAGGGAAGAACGACAGGGGGTTTTGAGGTCAGTTCGGTACGATTCAGACGATGAGTTTGACGTTCAGAAATCCATTTGTGGAGGGTTTCAAAAGAGCCGTAGAAAGGTGGAGGGAAGAGAAGGGTCTCAGAAGTTGAAGGGCATGCATAAAACTCAGGATGACAGAGACTGGATATTGAGGAAGGAAAACGGAGAAGTTTTCGGAAAGAAGCAGGTGGAATTGGAAGGAGAAGCGCATAGGAAGGAAGAAGAGAGATCAACGGGTTCAGTGCGAAATGATGTACTAGAACTGTTAGCAGCAAGAAAGCATCAGGATTTATCCTCGTGGAATTCGAAAAGTTCCGGTCTGGAAACAATTGAGGAAGAATCTTTGAACTTGGAGACTGAAGACGAAGAAGAACTGGTTTCAGATTGGCAAAAACTGAAAGAAAGGAAGATACAAGAGGTGAAGTTGAAGAACGAGAAACACAGGAAGTCGCTCTACATCAGCAGGGAACTGCAGAGGAGAAGAACGAGGAGGAGTTGCAAAGTCAGAGTTTGTTCTCCGCAGACAGCTTCAAGGGTCGAAATCTGCAAAGTGAAAGCTCTCAAAGACATGACGAAAGCCAAACTGAAGACAAAAAAGGAGGCTGAGGAGAGAGCCGTGCAGCAGGTACGAACAAGGTTGAACAGCTTTGCAGTGGTGAAGTGCTCATTCGACCTACAGAAGGACTTCCGAGACTCCATGGTTGAGATGGTTGTGGAGAAAAAGATAACCCAGCCGGAGGATCTGGAAGAGCTCTTGGCTAGTTACCTGACCTTGAATTCCGACAAATACCGTGATCTCATTATCAAGGTGTTCCGGCAGGTATGGTTTGACTTGAATCAGACCTGTTTCGGTACTGAAATACAGAATGCACAACAATAGAAAAACTTGCAGCCAAATTGTAAAATAGATAACATTACTAATTTTCTATTTCTCTGCATTCTGCACATCTAGTTTGGCTCTTATTGCTTCAAAATTTGTGAAAGTTCACTAAGCAATGCACATGTAGAATTGCAATGTGTGTAAGATGCACAAATGTGGGGAAGTTTATGGTGGTCAATCTATAAACCCCGTAAATATTTCATACGGTTCTTCAAACCAAATGTAAAAACGCTACTTATCGAGAGGAACCTACAACCACAGAGAATTTAGTCAAAATAGGAGATGCATAAATAAGGCTGCAAACGATCATTTCATATGAGTTCAGAATTATGTAATTTTCCACAAATAGTCGTGTGATGCTTTGCCAAATAAAGGACCTAAGTCTCGGTGCTGCCATACCACAACACGATATTAATCTCACATGCAGATCTCCTCAACAAAGAATTTAAATTCTAAAAAAAGCAATTACTCAAGCTGAAGACCTTCGTTCAACTATCAAGTATCAACCAAACACCAGATGCAAGTGGTCAACAGATTCATTAGCACAACCATAAGTGAGTGCAGTCAGAGTACATGGCGAATCTTAGATGTAGTCCTGGATTTGCAAAACACAACTGGGATGATAATCAGGCAACTGAAGAATCTTAGGAGAAAAGAGGGACGTAGATGGAGGGCGGGTTTTAATAGTGAAAGTATACTAGCAAAGGGGTTGCATACTGCAAAGAAACACACTCAATCAAACAAATACATCAAAATGCTATGTTTTTAATCAGAAAATCCATGTCTGATAACAAAAGTTACTGTGGATGCAAGGCTATGAATTGTTGATTAACATACAAGGTCATCATAAGGAGAATGAGATCAAAAGCACGTAAATTTTGGACATAAACATATTAAGTGATATTATTTAGTTTATAGGTATAAGAATACTAATCAAAATATAAAGATGACCAAGAAGAAAATGAACACAAACACAGAATATCTATGAATGCCAGAACAAAATATTCATACCTAAATTTATACCGGAATAAAGTAACTAGTATCAGGTTTTCTCTAATGGAGTAAGATGCCCCATCTGTTCTGTAAGGTTATTTACATTCCTTATATTGCACCACAACCTGCCATGATCACCAGGTTTGCTGTCATTACTTCTACCATCGGAATCCTTTCTTTCCAACGGAACTTTCTGTGCTTCTGACGTGCCAGGATTCTCTGTCAAGAACTGTTCCCAAAATCCGTCATTGACCCCGGTGGGTGCAGAAGAGGTGGTTCCAGGCTGGTTTTTCATTAGACGGTTGTTGTATCAAGGCAGTGGTGGGTGCAGAAGCAGCAATTCCAGCTGTTTGTTCCATAGAGGATTGCGATGCAGCAGGCTCAGGAGCAACAAATGCAGCGGGCTCAGAATTCATGTCAATTTGAGGGGATTTGGACTGAATGTCAACATTCAATTGCATGGAAGATACGGCTGTGCTTTCATTACCACTTGTAGATTCATCCACAAGTGGAATGTTATTGTGACCAACATCATGAATGGTATCTTCCCAAAATGTTAGGAATGACTCCAACTGCTCCAACTTTTCCAAACCCCCGTTTTCTCTAATTACAGCTTCTGAACTAACCATCTGATTATTTCCATTGTTAGCATCGTCGAAAGGCCAACTGGTTCTTGGCAACCTTCTCTTTCGCTCACGGACTTCCAATTGTGGAACAGGATTAGAGGCAATCCCCGGTTTCTGCAAAACCCTAGCCACGAAAGCCGCCATGGTTTGCTGCTGCCCTTCCATGTGTTGCAAACGGTCCTTCAAGAACTGCATTTGCAACTCCAATCCATGCCGCTCCTGTTCATGCCTCTGTAATTCCACAGCAAGGCGTTCTTTCTCATGTTTAAGGCTCTTGATTTCGTCCTTCATACTCTGCCGTTCAGCTTCGGACAATGAAGTCCCTTGCCCTTGGCCTTGGACTTGAAGATTCTGCAAAGAGTGGCTGTGCACCGGCTTTCGCCTATGGATGTTCTTCATAAGGTGTGGCTGACCTCTTATAAAATCATCATTGGCGAATTCCCATTGCTCCGGATCAATTTTTCTAAAACCCTATTGTAACAATTCAAATCAAATTAAGCAACCAAAACTACAAACATACCATATATGCATATATTCCAATGTCAAACAACTGAAGCAAAAGAACGCAAGCTGAAACTGAAACGGAATTAAGTTAGAAACTCGGTTGACTTACATAGGTATTGAGCTGCCTGATGAAGCTAGAGAAGTTGTTGTGCTTGAAGAACTTTGGCAGCAAATCTCTAGCAAAATCCGGCGGGTTCCAAACAATGAAGCTCTTATCACTGGCACTCCATGACACAATTGAATCTGTTGAAGCATCATCTACCATCTCATATGTCTTGGAAAGGAAAGGAGGCAACGAACTCGTGCCGCCTTGAGCTTCCTCCATCCTAATCAATCCCCCAAAACCCAAATCAAAACCCAGAACTACATCATCAACCCCATCTCAGAAACTCTAAAATCCAAGAAAATTCACCAGGACCAAAACTCCTATTCGAAAACCTCGAATTTACGGTCTTTCCACCCGAAAAAGGAAACTTTCCAAGGAACTAAGGGCACCCAAAACCCAGAAATAAATGATCAACCACTCCTCATTGCTCAAAGCTCTAAAATCCCGGAAAAACCAAATCCTTCAAGCTCACTTGTATATGCAGGACCAAAAAATCGAATCGAAAACCTCAAATTTACATTTTCAACCCAAAAAAAAGAACCTTTCCAATGAATCAAGAAAACCCAAAAGCCCCACAAAAAGTCGATCCGAAAACCTCAAATTTATATCCTCTCAACTCCAAGAACGGAACTTTCCAATAAATCAATGGAACCCAAAAAACCCAGTTGAAAATTCTTCGAACAAGAACCTTCCAAAGAATCAGAAGGACCCAATTGAAAATCGCATTGAATTTTCAACTGGGGACTCCAAATTCAACCCGATAGAAATAGCCAAATGGAAGCCGACTGGAACTTCTAGATGATTACCAGAAGTCGCAGTTCAGTCAACCCCGAAGGAAATGGAAACAAGAATCCAGCAATTGATAAATCAAAACTCTGATTTATCGGTTGAAGAAATTGAAAACAAAATCCACCGCAATAATCGAAGCACCTCCGGACAGAGGAACAGTTGGAAGTTGCCGCAATATAATACCCACAAAAACTAAATACGTATTTTGTTTATTTAGTTGGAGAATTTCGAAACAAAATCGCACCTTTGGCGAGTCGTATTGCAGCTCGTTGGAACAGTTTGAAACGAAAAGGTTTGAAAAATATTTTTAAAAAAATTAATGGAACGGAAAGCTTGGAGCAAAAGCAACAAGAAGTTGATAAGAATGGTGGGGGGCAGTAGTGGGAAGTTGCCGGGAGAAGAGGCCGCTACTGCGAAAGCCCGAAACGATTCGTTTCGGCCGGATGTTTGGGGGTCCTTGTTTTCGAAACGCGTAAAGAATTTTATTCACTAGAAAAGTAATATATACATAAGAAAACGTTACGATACATTTTAAGTGCGATTTTTTTATATCGAAATTTGTACTCATCTTTATAATACTTCTTTTGTTTTCTAAGAAGATTTGATCATTAAAAAAAGGAGTTTATAACTTAGCTCCTTCCTTTTTTTTCATTGATCTTCTATTGTTTGTTGGGTCGATACAATAATGGGTAGGCGAAAGTAATGAATGTATAAGATTTGTTTTTTTAATCACGCTCATGCATCACGCGTTGTATTGAATGCAATATGATATTTTAGATTTTTTCAATTTGTTTTATGGATTTTTTATTTGATAAAATGAGACAAGTTGATTGGATGCAATGCGAGTGTCTTTTGTAAAAATAACCTCACAAATACACCCTTGAATTATATTTGCTGCCGGAATAATGCTATCTACCATTTTCATTTGTCTTTTCTTATTTACTTTATCTACTCGTCACTTAATATGTTTATTCCACAAACAAGTTAAACTGCATAATTAATGCATGAAAATCATAAATTCTAATTTTCCACCTTAAAAGTATGAAGTATGTAGTTTAATTTGTTACTAGAGCACACGTTTCAAGTCACGGTTGGAAAAGATAGATAAGAAAAGGCAAATGAAAGTGGTAAATTGCCCATTTTTTAAAAGTTTAGTTCCTCAAATTACCAAAAAACAGTTATATGATCGATTTCAACTATAATGATAGTTTAGGAAGGTCAAACGGTAATTTGCCTTTTAATTTGAGACATTTATATTTTGTTATTTTTGTTACATGTGACAATCAGATAGTAATTATATTAAATACATGTAAATACTGTTATTAAATACAAGATTTTTTCTTTCACTTGTAAGAATAGAGAGATTTTTCAATGTGACCGTTATACGAGGTGGTACATTACATGTTCCTATATAAATGGTGGGTTATGTGTGTTAAAAGGTTAATAACTTAAAAATTAAAAAAATTTCATCACTTACGTAAAAATACATAATGTATCATCCGTGTTTCCGTCATAACTAAATATTTCACTTTAAAGAATGGACCGACGGACTTGAAGACAACATTGCTATTGTGCCGTTTTGTCTGATCAAGGGGAGCTGACATATGTGCTTTGGTGGCGTAGCCGCGTAGCTCTATGTGCAAGGGATTTGCAGCCAATCAGAGCTACGCAATGCCGTGTTTGTTTAATAAAAAATGAAGTTTGGAAGGACTTAAAATAAAATATTAAGAAGAAGGTTCTTCAAAGAAAAGGCAAGCATCTTTTAACGTCTACCGTACACGTGGCTTGACGATAGACCACTACACGTTGGCTAGATAAGTATAAATACATGTATTTAATTTAAAAGAAAACTAATGAAAATGATTTGAAAATTTTGAATTTTAACCATAAGAATAAAATAAAGGATAAAGTAAATAGTACCAGAATTGACTTTTTAGTATAAAAATGTGATTTTTCGTTAAAGTGAATAATACCAGAAGTTTTTCGATAAAGTTTACTTTATTTAATGCAACATTTTTGGTTAGGTAGTTCATCACTCTCTAATCACACCAGGATTAGTCGTCACTAATTAAGACTTCTGTAACTAAGTTAATATTTCGTGATCAAGCCACTCCATAGAACTAATTATACCTAATCTACGGTTTAAAACTAGGCTTGAACCTAGTTGGATAAAGTGTTCACACCTCAAATAATTCTCTTTGTTTCGAAGGTTCACACCTTGTTGGTTTATGGCTCATTTGGAATTATTTTTAAAATATGACTGAAAGCGCTTTTAGAAAAATTGTTTTTTAGGTACAATAGCACCTAAAGTGCCTCCTACAAGACGCACATCAAGTGCTTATTCAGGATCTACTTGTATTTGTACTAAGAATTAGTTTTAAAAACCTATTTGCCAAAATTGCTTTAAGCTACTTTAAAACCACTCTTGAATTTGCTAATTGATGACATAATTTTAGGGGTGTGATATCCACGCAGCTCATTTTACTTTTCACACACCTTTTTAATTTTCGGTCGTCAGATCGGATGAATTGAAGAAGATCAACAGATAAAAATTATCAAATGATGCGTAAGAAGTAAAATGGGATGTGTGGATAGCACACTTCTAATTTTATACCAATCACCCTTTGAAAAAGGGAAAAACAGATTGGGCCATGAGGTATTGGTTTGGACATAATTTCAGCCCACCAATGGTTCGGATGTTATGGTTTGGGCTCAAGAACCCCAAGGAACGTTTTGGCGCGCGGCCAACCACCACATTCCCGCGCAACCGCTCGGATTTTGAGAAGACAGATTTATACTACACGACTGATTGCACATGTTAAACTGTCAGAGGCAGAGCAGGCCAGAAAAAATTAAAATGGTACGTACGTGGAAATATCTAACAATTTCATGATTAAGGTTGATTTTTTGAGAATGACCTACTGTGGGTATCTAAAGAGTAATGTTAAGAAAATTAAATTTGTAGATTAAATTAATAAATTAAATGAGATGTAACCAATAAAAATGAGTACGTTCATCAATAATAAGTAATAATTTAATCATCAATTTTCATATCATTTAGTTTACAAAATTGAGTCAACAAATTGAGTCTCCCTATCATTACTACTGAGGAAAACATGCTTTTTCAATCGAGATAGAATGATTGTCGAGCCCTCTTATCTTTTCGCCCGCTGACTTATTGGGATAGCACCAATCGGCCTCAACTGAAATCTCAATCAAAGACAAGTTGTTGTGTAAGTCTATTACACGTCAAAATTGAAACAGTATATTACAACAAAGATATAAGATATCTACTGTATCATTGTTTGGCTCATTTTGTTGGAGTGTACGAGAGCAAAAATAGCCTTGATCAATTGCCATTTTGTTACAGGAGGCAGAGAAGAGATGCTTGCCTTGAGTATATAGCTATTGTGCGACTAAACTGTTTCTCAAGAGTTCTCTTAGAGAGAGACAACAAGTTGAATTTACGAATGTAAATGATCGTTAACTGTTAATTATTGATAAGATAACCTTGTTTTTTTCATTAAATTTGTTAAAAATAAGATAATACATCATGTCTTTGTAAAAAGTGGAGGGCTTTCGTTGGCAAATTTGTATAAAACGACCCAAATACTTTGTAAGGAGAGCATAATGTGAGTTGTCGTTTTTAGGGAGAGGGTTGGTCAAATAAGCAGTGTATCTCCGCTGCCTCGTGGGTGGCTGACACATCGGGCATCACGTGGGGCCGCGGTGGGACAGACATGATTAAGGTATATATAAAACGGTGGACCCCCACCACCACCATTCGAGGTAGATCCCACAAATCCAGGTGGCAAGCACCATGGGGGAAGGGCAAAAAAGCAGTGGCGGACCCAACGCCATGGGATCCAATCTGGTTTTGGTCCGATGGTGGAGTCCGCGGCGCACGTGGAGGTTGTTGAATTTTGGGGCGAATTGTTACATGTGACATGAGCGACCCTCTAATTATTTTATTTTACACGTCTTATCTTATGAAAGTGATATATTATTATTGTCCAAATAGGAAGCTGCCAATTGACACTTGCAGCTTGCTTCTTTATCTTTACAAACTCCTACGTATATTTTAAGCTGTAAATCACATCAAAACCTTAAAAAACCTAACAAAATACGACTACTGTATTGTGATCAAGTTATATTGTCCTTAATTAACGTCGTTTTTTGAGATTATCTAGTCGGTAATAAAATGCAAAATTATGCATCAGGATTCTAAACTAGGTTGATAAATCTATACCTAGGTTGATTATTGTCTACAATTATAGTTTCATATTCGCAACATGACAATATCAATTTGAAAAGTAATTTCTGCGATGTCTTTTGACTCCGTTTGCACACGGTGAAAGACGCTAATAAGAGTTTTGAAGAAATCACCCCTCTATCCATACATGTTTAACAACATAACAATGGAAAAGTCAAAATTTTATAATAATGAGCTCATAATTTTGACAAAAACAACATCATTGGATCATTTCGCCGAACTACCTACAAAATTATACTGCATTCTAAAGCCTATCAAGTGAGGCATTTTATCGAATACTTGTTGCAAATAATAGGGTCGCATCCAAGAACAAAAAAAAGAAGTAGCAAGTTGTAATTAAGTGTTTTTTTACTCATTTTTTTAATTTGTTGCAATTGTGTATATGACTTATCTACGAACATACATATGAATGTACATCAAGACTATGAAACTATTAAGGTCAACAAACATACATATGAATATACATCGAGAATATGAAAATATTAGGGTCGTAAGTAATTAATGATTCCATTTTAGCTCCATGACTGAACCCTAAACACCACCTAATTTACTAAGTAGCATAAACCACCTGATCATCAGCCAAGGTGATATGACACACAAAGGCAGAGGGCCAAAGGGATGGCGAGCCTGGCTTGCACAAAAAGCTCACCACCTCCGCCTGGATGTGAACCATGTCAGTCAGTCGTACATTTGGATCCACCAGTCCCACTCACGCAAATTAGATCACCACCCCTAGCATTTGTCACGTGAACCTCCCAAACAGGACACCGGACACTAGTTCGGTGCATGACGGATCACGGTTTATCCAGTGCGCTCCAATCCAAAGCACCAACCAACACACATCTCACATACACACACAGTGCTGACAAGAATTCAAATATTTGCCGGATCTTCTTTGTGAGAATTTTGAAGATTCGTGAATTATATATCGTGTGATCATAAATTATTTTAAATATTTTTATTTAAAATTAAATATAAACAGTATCTTATAAAAACTTATTGTACGATGTATGATGAACAGACACAATTTACGTATCTTCCTGTCCTCACCAAAAGATCCGGAGAGGATCTGTTGGTACTGACAAAAGACAAAAATGACAGCAGAGAGAGAGAGAGAGAGATTTCCCACAGCCACCGCACGCCGGCACGCAATCCCGGCCCCGCCGCATTAAAATTGCCCCCCCACTG